GCAAGCATCCCAATATACTCCTGTAGTGCCTTCAACACACTTCCCGCTAACTCTTCCTCCAGCTCCTCCTTGGCCCTCACTACTAGATCGTCATCCAAGCTCAGTGTAGCCAACTTCTGTCTGTACACTACCGACTTGAACAGCTGAGGCACTGTGGCCTTCTCTATGTGAGGTACGTCATTGATAGCTCTCAATGCAGTGAGTAGTGTCTCCCCAGCTACAGCCTGGACGTACATTGCAGGATTGGTAGCATAGGCAAACTCATACTCCGGAGTGTGTGATGCTCGCCGTGCGTTAGCAGCACCAGCAGCAGAAGCTGCGCGAGTTGATACCTCCCCACTGCTGCGTTTCCTCAGTAGTCTATTAGTCGCGTGCGCGGCACTTGACCGACGAGACTCTTCGCCCTTCTTCTCAATACGTTTGATCTCTATGGTGAAGAGCGCCCGAGGAGCATCAGACCCGTCGCTTCGAACCGTTCCCTCTTTCCACTCGTTTATCACCGTATGCAGGTTCTGAAAGCATATACATCACACGTTCGACTCCCAGACCCGGCACTATTCTCACCTCTATACGCACTTCTCTCGGCACATGCCTTTTGATGTACCTCACATATAGTTCCGCTGTGTTGATGGCCAAGTCCCTGAGGCAATCCTGCAACATCAGGCGCATCACTACGATAAACTTCTTCAGCTTGCTATAATTATAAACCTCCTGAAAACAACACCCTATCTACATCGACGTTTACCATATTTGATCTCACCAGGCTAGTCTCGTCGATATTGAACCATCCTTTACCAACAACCTCCAAATTCCCACGTATCATTTTCACAACCTTCCCAGTGAAACAGTCCACGACCTTTGCTGCTGTCTTTTCAATAGCCGCTTTCTGCCACTCCTTAAAGGCCTCCAAACTACATGGCTTATAGGGCAAGTTGACAGGCAGTAGCTGTACAGTAGGATGGGACTTCAACAAGTCAATACAGAGGGCTCGCACTCCCACTACTGTGCGTATCACAGCCCTCTCGGTGAACAATGTATCAAAGGTAAGCTTACTCAGTACATTCTTAACAAACCCTTTTTCCACCCCAGGCATGCGGACCAAGGCCGACCCTGGCACTGGACGGCCCCAAGGTAGACCAAAACCTGTTGGCCTAGTCCTCCTAGTGGTCCTTCTCAACGACCCAGATATATCAACATCATCAGTAAGGTACTTCAAAGCGACAATAGACATATCCCCACTAGCCTCATCTATAGTCTGCTGCTCTCTTGCCTTGGCGAACACCCACAACATCGTCATCCTATTCACAGCCTTAGTCAGCTCAGCATTCACATCGTCCAGTATCATCTCCAATCTCTCCTGATCACCTCCGCTCCGCCTCTTTTTCCCAGTCACCCTTCGCATTATTCTCAGCACCTGGTTGCCCCCCATCCTCCCTTCCCCACTCTTAGGCATACAGTCCAAGCACGTAGTAT